TAAAAGTGGTGAAGGTTTCAAAGGGACTTGTCAGTACTGCTCTGTGGAATGGTTGGACTTACTTTGCATCCCCTTTTCTTGTAAAGAATTGAGATTCACCGAGTTGAGACTTTTCTCTTTAAGACAGCTAGCCATCCACTTCCTTCCATTGCTAGATTGACCAGTGGTCGAGCATCCATAGGATTTCTCCCCAGTGTGAAAGGTATGTTTCTTTCCGGCAAGTTTACAAGCAAGTGACTAATTAGGGCAGGCTACAGAGGGGCTGCTGGTGAGATGTTTTGAACTGTGGATACTGTTTAAGTGGAGTGTAATTTCAACATCTGTCTCTGCTGTTGTCTGTGTCTGGGCTTAAAAACAGTGGGCGGGGTGCCTAACAGATTGTACTGACTCCTAGGAAAAAGGCTGTTCAGCTGCTCAGGGTAGATTTCCCAACTCTGGACTGACAGTACCATCCGCTCTTTGAGACTGTTTTTCCAACACTGCTTCTCAGTTGTTTGAAAAGCACTTTGCCCATCATTGATTTTCACTAAGTATATTTATTCAAATGTGATTCTTTTATTCATATAAAGACTTTTAACATTTGCAAATTAAAGTTCACAATCCTTGAGATTGTTGGTATTTGAAAATTGTGGTGAAAAACATATTTTAGTTTTATCTAAGGTGGTGGTGGACTCTCTGTAGAGTTAGTGTTTCTGTAATTTGAGCTGAAGTCTATGCCATTCATAATTGAATAATCTACAGTTAGGAGGGAAACTTACCACTATGTCTTTTGTTCACGATGGTTAGTTTTAGACATTGTTTACTCAAACCAAATGTTTGCTTTAAAGGTTGCATTTTATAAGTTAAGTAAAATCAGTGTGCATACAGCTTGGATGTTTTCTAATTTGAGTAAATAACTGTAAAGAAAACAAGAAAGAAGATTATTAAATGAGACTGTAAAGTTGATTCATTCGGAATTGTGGTAGTGTCTCTTTGACCTTGTTGGAGCATGAGGAATGTGCTAAAACGGCAATAAACAGCAATGAAAAAAATTTCCCTTTTACCCTGTAACAAAGTCAAATCACGGTGGTCTTCGGAAAGATTCAATTGCAAGTGAACAATAGAGAGGAATGAGATTTATTAATTCATTGAAATAATTCAAGTGATTATAATAGCCTGGAGAAAGGGATAGAGAATTTAGGAGGTAAATGGTACATTACTCTGATAGGTCATAAGCATGGGAATTCCTAGTCCATCAAAGTTAATCAGAAGCAAAGCATCTTCAGGCCAAATGAGTCTTCTAGGGGAATTGTGAGATTAGCAGTACCTACTGTGTGTGGCATTTCTATTGGAATATGTAACCTCTTATAAATGAAAAATCTTTAATTATATGAAAAGTGATATGTTTAGCAAAAGGAAATAAGGAGAGCAAGAAACAAGTACTCTAAACAATAATCTAAAAAGAGAGAAGTAGAAATGGAGCAGCTGCCCCTAAGGAACGCTGTTTGGTTTGTTTGGCTGCAATCCAGTTTTCAATGGGCAAGGTGGAGGTTGAAAGGGTAGTGACCAAGGTCTCCTAAGAATGGAGCACCCCTCGGAGAAAGAATTGCTGCCATGACCAGACGGAGGCTAATCTGGGGGATGAAAATTTCTTGTGAGACTTGTATGTTACTCTTAAACTTTGCTTACTGGTAGGGCCGGAAGGCTAGCAAAACTATTTGCCTCCCATCACCATACTTATGCAACCCACTCACAACTCTTTATAATTCTGGCTTTCAGCCCTGGAAAGGGGAAGTAAGTTAAAAGGGATTATGCAATGCTGGTTTAGAGTTGGGGTGTGTGACTAAGTACTGCAGCTCACTCTGTCCTCTTACATTTGCTCTAATAAATTTTTATTCTGAAATGGAATTCTAGAAGGAACAACATAAACTGGAGAGCCGAAGAGATATGGGGTAGGGGACACAGACAGCAGAAATCCTTCCTTCTCTCCCACATAGATGCCAGTATCTGTGGGAGAAAATGAATGACAACTAGGAACAAAAAGAACTTTTATTTTTGCCCCAGTAGAGAGCACTTAAATTGAGTTTTTGAATCTGCTGAACCACTTTACCCCATAACTTCTCATTACGAAACATTCTGTCTCTACAAAGTTGCCCCTTCAGTTTGATTTTTTTTTTGTAATATTTAAGTCAGATTTATAACAAAAGCAGTTTTACATAAGATTTGTTCACATTTTTACTAACAATAAAACTTTTTCTTTAAATACTTGACATGTATCTTTAAAATACTTGAAAAAAGGCAAAAGAAGATCATGGAGAATATGAGAGTTCACACAATTATACTTGCTTCTATCTCGTTTTTAAATAAAGATCAAAATAATCAGGTCTTTTTTTTTCCAGAGAACAACAGGGAGAGGGATAGATGAAGAAAAGAGAGGAGAAAGGGAAGGAGGGAGGAAAGACAAGAAGAGGAAGGGAGGGAACAAGGGACAGAAGGAAGAAAACAAGAAGCAAGTATTTATCAGGCATTTGCTATGATCCAGAGCAGGGTTTAGGCACATCTTTTAAGCATTTTTCCCTTTTGCTCACTTAATCTCCAAAATAATTTTATGCCCCTCCCCCTTTATATTTAGAGGTGGAAGCAATATGTTTGGCTACGTTAACATCTAACATTATATTTATGACAAGACTGAGATGCTAAGGAGGCCAAATCCTTCCACAGAAAAATTGGCACAGATATTGCTCTATAGAAATGTTCTTGTAAAGACTTATTTCTGATCCATAACTATTACATATTTTGGCACTAGCAAGTGCTCTGGGCCTGGAAAGGAAAAGCTCCATACATTGGCCCTTCTCCATATTAAGCGATCAGTTTGGCTCTTTGCAGATAGGTGCAGGATTCATTCTGCTTCAGGACTGTTACCTGGGTTTACATATAGTCTTGTTATCAGGAGCAAGACTGACTTAGGGTATTCCTGAATGATCTTCTGGTAGGTTAAAAAGAGAAAGGCCTGGCATTTTTCAACAGTAGTGTGGAACGATTCGAGAAGAGTTAGGAATAGAAGGAAAAATTGGAGCCATTTGCTACATAATTGTAGAAAAGACTTGATGGTGATTTCGGAACATTTCCAGTGTTTAAAGACAGTTGGGATAAAACATGGATTTATCATAGCTCCTCTTTTCCAGGTAGCTTGAAATTAGTCTGCATCCTTTTTTAGCTTCTTTGGTTAAATCTGCAGTTATGTCTTATTATCTCAGTCCACACCATTCTTCCTAAGAAATTACAGTGGCAAATGCTTTCTAGTCAGCAAGGTAGTTTCACCACACAGTTAATTACATATAGTTTTAAAGTAGTCTGCTAGTTTCAAGACAAGTGAGACATGATAGCACCTTTAATAGCTAGATCTAAAATTATGTATTTTTTCTTGACTGAATTAATCATAATAGTACTATTGCCAAAGACACAGGAAAAAATTATCAAAGTATCTTTAGTAAATAGTTTGAGAGTAGAGTAACAATATAGATCCTTAAATTATTAGGGTGTTTTGAAGGCAGAACCCTGCATGTATAGCTAACATTTTTTATTCTTATTCTATTCTAATTCATTGATTGTGACTCAAAAAATCTATGTTCAAAACTGTTTACCACTCAGATATGTATGTTCACAACAGTCTGACAAAAATAAAATTAGTCTTCGATATTTATCTTACTTTTAGGATATGAAATATGCAGTTATCTTCTGTGAATACAAAATTGGCGCTTGCTGCTTGGGTATGTGGGCTTAATTTGGTAATGCCAGCACCCACAAAGCTATTGATTGTTGGGATCTTTGTCCATAATTAGCATTAGCTGCCACCAGTAAGTTATAGCATTTTGATAATGGCCTAGTGACTGAAGAGTTAGACATCTTATAGGCACAATTATCTTAAACAGAGATTCAAACATTTTAAACATGTTTTTCTACCTCCTAAAAAGGCACATGACTTATTTAATACAAAAGTATTTTTAATTGAAGTCATAATGAAATTTTGTAAAGCAAAAAATAGAAAACTTTCTTAAATTTCTCAAACTACTCTGCATTCAGTATGCCATTTAATCTTTTTAACAGTTCTATGACTATCCCCATTTTAATGCAAAAAAACTAAATCTCAGAAATTTTAGACTTATACCAGAGTTACATAGCTGGTATTTTAAACTGTGACTTCAAACCTTAAATACACATCCCTGAAGGCTAGAAAATTAATTATTTCAGTCACTACTTAATGTAATAGAGGATTCCCTGAAAACCGAGCAAAATGTTTTCTTCAATTCTCTGTATTCGATATCCTAAGCAGTTTATAGTATATAGTCTATTCAAAGGAAAAGAGAGCATGGATAAATTTTAACATATATTTCACAGGATAGTTTTGGTGCTTCTAGATTTTCCTTGATGAAGTGACATAATGAATATATTTTTTATAATTTAGATTAGTTTCTGGATGATACATCAGTCCCAAGTTGACTACCCACTTTGGGGTCTTAATAAGTAACACAGTAATGACATTTGGCACAGGCTTGATCTCTGAACATAGAATTAAGACTGCAACCCAGCTCTGTTTCAGGAATTTAAGTCATAAGAGTATGGTTGCATCAGAACAGAAAGAATAATTTTATTGCAGCAGAATCTGTCACAGTCTGTAGAAGTGACCATACATTTGAATTATATACTTCCACTCTTAGATATTCATGAAAAAATCTACTTTTAGAGTAAGTGGTTAAAGGGATGATTATATCTCACATGTGCATTTAATTATCTCGTCCACTATAATTTTGCTGTCTGGTCTCAGAAAGGGAAAAAAACTTTGGACAATACTTTTTACTTTATTGACTGTGTTAGTTTCTTCTTAAGTAGACTGTTGTCATCTCTTTTCTTTTGAGTCCAATTTTCCTATAGTTTGTTTATGTGAATGGCTCGACAAAATGATAAATATATTTCCAGAAAGCACATGGATTTGGAACTCTCTCTTGTTATGTTTATATTAGGCTTTATTTTAAAGGCAAGTGAGACTGCTTCAAATAAAACAACTTCAAGCTTCCAAGAAACAGTTAAGAGGAGGCAGAGAAGAGCAGAAACACTTCTTCACCGACACTTACACTGTTGCCATGGACCTACATAAGCAGTGGGAGAACACAGAGACTAACTGGCATAAGGAAAAGATGGAATTACTGGACCAATTTGACAATGAAAGAAAGGAATGGGAAAGTCAATGGAAGATTATGCAGAAGAAAATAGAAGAGGTACACTTTAATTTGTTGTGGATGTACTGTAATGTTTAAGTGCAGGATGAAAATTCTGTTGACTGTTTTGTATTGGAAACTCTTTTGTTTTCCTTATTCCACCTAAGAGGTGCATTTCTCAGTGATATTTACTAGAACAAAGATAGCATAACCTTATCCAGTGGCATTGTAAGGATTATTTTATATCACTGCATGAAAATTAAGCATTTGAAATGTCACTCTAAAATGTTTCAACTTATTATTTTCTGATGAGAGAGCTTTTTTATCAAAAGTGAGGTATGTATTTTGTATGAGTTTTCAAATACCAGGGCCAGGATTAAAATGCAAGAAAGATATACTTGGTGGGACATAGATTAGTAAAATTATAATTGGGCATTAGAACATAGATCTTTCCTAAGAAGATTTATGAGTAATGTCTATTAAAGGAAATTACATGTTAGATAGCTCAGTATAATCAAAAGGAGTATCATATATCAAACAGAAAATGGCAGTAGACATGAGATGTATTCTATTAAAGTGTGCACATTTAGTGGCATATTTATTGGAAAAGGGGTTATGAAAAATAACATGACTCTGACACAGTCATTTTGTTTCCGTTAACCCTCCCTCAGTCCTTTGACCCTTAAATATTTCCTTCAAGCATTTGCACTGATGTATATTCAAGCTTTTGCACCAACAGGAAATAATTTATGCTTATCTTGCTTTCTTTTGGTAGCATACATAGTATTGACTTTATATGGTTTTATGCGCATTACCAAAGTTGTTACTTTAAGACTTCTTGACCTTTTTTGCAGGCAAAGTGCAAAACCTTTTTTGCTTTATGTGTTTATAGTTCTGTCATGTTTCTTATTAACAGCCGTGTAATTGACTGTGAATAAAATATGAATTGGCACAGTAGGAAGAAAGCTGAAGAAAAGTAACTATTAAGCCTTTCCTCTAAAATAGAGCTGAGAAGGCAGGCATGTAGTATATGATTAGGGATTATAGGAGAATATATACTTCTTGTCCCTCTATAGTTTGGAAAATGTGTCCTACTTGCTTCTTTAACCCCTCTACCCATACTCAGATTGGATCAACAAAGAGATTCCCTGGTCAAATCAGAATTCAAAACTCAAGTTCAGTCAGAAACTGACCCGTAGTCCTAGGTCATTGCCTCCCAAATGTTTGGGAAGTTCAGTTGGTAACAGCCTCAGACAATTCTAGCATCCAAGCAAAATAACTAAGGGATGCAGGATTAGTCTACCAATTTTTAAAGCCATGTAGTTAAAAGAAACTGCTGTCTGATTAAATTTATTACTGTCCAATAATGATTCTGACAATTCTATAGAGTTCATCTAAGGTAAATATTAGCCTTATCAATTAGCAGGCACGAAATATGTTTTAAACATCAAATTATACCTCATAGAGATAACATCTCTTTCTGTATCAGGGAGACAGAAAAGCTGTCATTTTTTTTTTATCTTGGAGAGTAGCTGTACTGCTGTTTATGTTTTGCTGCCTGTGCTATACAGCTCCATAGCTGGGAATTTGTTTAGATAATGTGCTTACCCCTAATGCCTACAGATGATGCTTTTCAATAAAGACTTGAATACCAGCACTGTGCTACCCTTACTAATATATATGCCAAACATGTATGAAAGGTACCTTCTTACAGGCTTCAAAGCTGGGGTAGAAAGGTCAAGGAAAACAAGAGGAAAGTTTCTTCACATGTCACAGAGAATCAAGATAATTTTTTAAACTAAAATTAAGAAATCAACACTTGGAAAAATAATCTCATGCCGCAAGCATAAAAGACTGTATTTGTTTAACATTTATCACAAAGTTCTATATGTTAAATCAGATGTAAATTATTAAGTCATGTACTAGAGATTTGTAGATTCCCAGGTATGCACATATATCTTCAGTGATTTTAATATCTAATGAGAGGATATAGTATTGGCTATTAAAATGCTCATAGTTCACTGTTCAGCCACTATCCACAGTCATTGCATTTGCTGTGGCAAAACCAAGATGTTCATACCTGGATCATGTGAAATTTGAAATAATCCAGATAGAAATTCTGGATAGAACTTATAGACATCTGGGATTTTTTTTTTTTTTTTTTTTTCCCACACTGTAGTCTCCTGCCTGTATCCGTTGGTAGAATAATCAGGTAACCATTGACAAGGGCTGAGTACCAAGTAACTTAGATTACTTTTGTACAAAATAGTTTTCCATCAGTAACATTGTTATTTGGTTATTCATACCTCACATAAGTCCGCAAGAAAATTTAAGATGGCATAAAATTAGGTATAACAGAAAATATGCAAAAACAAAAATAGAAAGATGAGCTGAAGACAGGAGGAAGGATTGTATATGAAATGTACCAGTGAGTCTTTCTAGTAACTAACAAAAATTATCAGGTACATATACTTTCAAATTCAAATGATAAGGCAAACTTATTTCCCAGGAATAGCACATTTTCCCCTGGTTTTGCAACTAAAGCAATTTTGTTTTCACTCATGACTTCTCAAAAACAGGACAGTTTCACCAACAACATCCTTAAATTTAACATGTCACTTTTTAGCCCGGGCGTGGTGGCTCAAGCCGGTAATCCCAGCATTTTGGGAGGCCGAGACGGGCAGATCACGAGGTCAGGAGATCGAGACCATCCTGGCTAACCTGGTGAAACCCCGTCTCTACTAAAAAATACAAAAAACTAGCCGGGCGAGGTGGTGGGCGCCTGTAGTCCCAGCTACTGGGGAGGCTGAGGCAGGAGAATGGCGTCAACCCGGGAGGTGGAGCTTGCAGTGAGCTGAGATCCGGCCACTGCACTCCAGCCTGGGCGACAGAGTGAGACTCCGTCTCAAAAAGTACTTTTTAGGGTGGCTTCTTATAACCCTCAAGGTCAGCTCAAACCATAATGCCCACAGAAGTTCAGTACAAATAATTTGGCAGGGACCAAACAATCGATTCATGGCTGCAGTTTGATGCTATCCTGATTTCATACAATAAATACTAATAAATTTATAAGCATAAGAAAAATAAGTGCACCGTATATATTTCAGGCATCAACTCTAGTGCTTCTCTCAACTGAGTTACTGGTATTTATTAAGCAGCAATAAATCTGTTATATTACTTGAATAATACATGTAGTGTAGATATTGATTGTGGCTGTTAAATATAGAGTCATTTGCTTTGATAGTCATCTGACAGTCTTTTGAAGTTTGACAAGCTTTTACATGACTCAAGCCTAAAGAGAAAGCCATTTCTTTCCTCTGTTCAGAAGTGAACTGAATGAGTGTGTGCAGGTTTAACTAAGATCTCATAAAGAAGTCATCTGGGTTCTACTTTAATACAGACTAATAGATGATCAAAGCCTTGCAGTTCTATTATATCATGTAGGGTTTTGTTTTAATCTGGATGAGAAACTTTTTTAAAATGTGTATCACCTTGACATTTTTTTAAAATCTCAGTAATGTCTAATCCTCACCAATGTAATTGGCCAACCAAAGGAAACATCTTTTGACTGACAAGTGGCTATTTAAGGAACAGAGTAAGTTGACTTACTATATGAGATTGTCAAGCATTTAGACAATTAAATGTTAGTGTACAAGTGGGACCAGACGTTTGGAAACTATGCCTTGAATGTTAAATTCTTGCTTTTCTCCGAAAGCAATTATATAGTATGGCCAGTAATTGATTCAGGTCATTCTAATTTTGTGACAGTGTTTCTGTATTTATATACAAATACAGATTTATTTCATTTTTTGAATGATTGATTGCTAGTCAGAAAGAATTAGCATCCATGTGTTGCCCTAATAAAAGTAGCCTTTATGTTTTATCAAACTTGTTCCAGCTAATCCATATTTTAGAGGCACTATTTAGAGGCCGAAGCATTAATACCTAGGAAGTGTATTTTAATATGGCAAAGAGAACTCAAAGTGGTTTGCTTAGTATCAAGAATATTAACAAAGTGAATTAAGGGAAAAGAAGTTTTAATTTTGTTTTCTTTTTCTTACAGCTTTGCCAGGAAGTAAAGCTTCGGAGGGAAATCAATATGAATGAACGTGCTAAGATCATTGATCTTTACCATGAGAAGACCATTCCAGACAAAATGATAGAATCTTCCCCAAATTACCCCGATTTAGGACAATGTGAATTTATAAGGACAAATCACGAAGATGGTCTGAGAAAAGAAAATAAAACAGAGCAGAGCTTAGTCAGTGGAGGAAATCAAATGTGTAAGGAACAAAAAGCAACAAAAAAATCAGAAGTAGGGTTTTTGGATCCTCTGGCTACAGACAACCAAAAGGAATGTGAGGCCTGGCCTGTCCTGAGGACTTCTGAGGAAGAGAGTAAGAGCTGTTCTGGCGCCCTCAATACAGTAAGTAAGATGTGATTGGCCTAGAACTGTTTCTAAAGAAATATTTACATTTCAAAGTGCTAACGGGCTGTTGCTTATATGTGTAAAGGCTCTTGAAGAACTTGCGAAGGTTAGTGAAGAATTATGCAGCTTTCAAGAGGAAATTCGAAAGCGGTCTAACCATAGAAGGTAGGCTGGTACATATTATTATTTTAGATGGGTAAATAAAAAGAATATTGTTTTTAGTTAATGAATCCAAACTGCCTCCTCCTTACATGTAAGAATTAATGAGTTATTAAAATGTATTATCTAGGGTGGGAGATAGAAACTTTAATTTCTTTTTTTTTTTTTTTTTTGCTTGTTTTTGAGATGGAATCTTGCTCTGTCTCCCAGGCTGGAGAGCAGTGGTGTGATCTCAGCTCACTGCAGCCTCTGCCTCCCAGGGTCAAGCGATTCCCCTACCTCAGCCTCCCACGTAGCTGGGACTACAGGCACACACCACCATGCCTAGCTAGTTTTTTTGTATTTTTAATAGAGACGGGATTTCACCATGTTGGCCAGCATGGTCTCGAACTCCTGACCTCAAATAATCCCCTGCCTCACCCTCCCAAAGTGCTGGGATTATAGGCGTGAGCCACCACACCAGGCCACAAACTGTAATTGTCTATTTCTCTGTTCACTAATTCTTAAAGCAAATCTTCCAATTCCCTTTGTAATCTATTAGTAATACTTTACTGTTTTTGGTGTTTAATTAAGGAAGACCCTCTATAAAAAAATCAGTAAGTAACCTCTAAAGTAGTTCTTTCTCATTCTGAGCATTTGAGCAATGAGAGTGTGCAACTGGACTAATTCAGTTAAACGTATCATTGAACGATGTCAGATTTAACAGTGTGGCATTTTGCTTATATAATCATGTTCTACTAAAATATTTAATGCTTAAGAGTACTTTATTTTACTTCAATTAGTATTTATATAATGGAGGCCTACATACTTTTCAGAACAACATATTATAAATATGTACACATGTACACATGCCACAAAAAAATGCTGTTTCCATTTGGAAACAATATATACTTACAACAGTAAGTTTTAGCCAAATTAACAAATACATTGGAATTCTCTACAAGTTAAGTAAAGATGGATTATTCTAGGATCAACATTTCTCTGTCCTCATGGGGCAGTATGCTTCATTTAGAAAGCTACACAAATGCATTCCCTTATTTTTCATTAGTTGTTAGGAAGCTCAGAAAGAATTTTTGTGCTGACTTGCAGTAGATTTTTTTAGCCAGTCTTGTTTTAAACATAACTTTGTCCTCTATTTGCCCATTTAGTTTTGTTTCTATTCTCTGTTAATAGGTATTTATCCACATTTTATTGTAAGCTATACCATAATCTTTTATAATTTGAAGAGGTATAAATATGATTTATATTTATCAGTGTGATTAAGTTTGAATTGTGGTATTTAGCTTATTTAATATAACCCAGAAAAGACTTAACAATTTTCTTTTACAAATCACACCTAATATAAAGTTCTTATTGTCACCCCATGGACTTTAGAACAAGGTTCAAGACATTTGTAATTCAGAGACATTACAATTTGGCATGACCTAATGTTTCTCATTTTTCATTATCCTCGCCACTCTGCTTTATAATTCATCCATATCAAAGTACTCATTTTCCTTCGAATAGCCATAGTATTTACTCCTTTTGCCTTTTACTTTAATCCTATATGCTTTTTACTCAAGTCATCCAAAAAAATTTTACTTTTTTTTCAAGCCCAAATGACACTTTCCATTTGGAATTACTCATGCCTCATTGCACTTTTATTCAGATTTCTATCTGACTACTTAAAATGTTATTTCACATTCAAGGAGAAGAACTTGAGCTCACATTACATAATGAATAAGAATTTAGCAGGCAGAGAGGAGGTAAGGGAATGGCAAGATAAAAGCTACAGAAAGGGAAATGCCAGTAGCAGAAACCCAGGAGACTACATAGTTCAATCTCAGGGTAGGTGAAGTCTCAAGTAATAGTGAAAATGAGAGAGGAGTTTGGAAAGAGTTTGAGTCAGAGTATGTAGGGCATTGAATATAACACTGAAAGGTAGACTTCATTCTACCATAAAAGGACTTGAAGTTTTTAACTGGGAGATTTATATAAAAATGATGTATGAGGGAGTTGTGAATCCTTTTATTATAGCAGAAACTCATTGCTTTAGCCATGGTTGCTGTAGAGAGCTTATTCTAAATAAAGTTATAACTAATACACCATGTTTTATTGTTGTTTAGGATGAAGTCAGATTCTTTTCTCCAGGAAATGCCAAATGTAACTGATATACCTCATGGGGACCCCATGATCAACAATGACCCGTGCATTCTTCCAAGTAGTTTAGAAAAAGAAAAACAGAAAAATAGGAAGAATCTGAGCCGTACCAATATGCTCCAGAGCAATTCTGCGAAAAAATGTGGAATTGATACAATCGATTTGAAAAGAAATGAAACTCCACCAGTTCCTCCTCCAAGAAGCACCTCTAGAAATATTCCCAGCTCAGATTCTGAACAAGCCTATGAAAGATGGAAGGAAAGGTTAGACCACAACAGCTGGGTGCCCCATGAGGGTCAAAGTGAAAGGAATTACAACCCTCACTTCCCTTTGAGACAACATGAGATGTCTATTTTGTATCCAAATGAAGGGAAAACTTTGAAAGATGGTATCATCTTTTCCTCTTTGGTACCAGAAGTCAAAATAGATAGCAAGCCTCCAAGTAATGAGGATGTCGGACTTAGCATGTGGTCATATGACATTGGGATAGGTGCAAAAAGGAGCCCCTCTACTTCATGGTTTCAGAAAACCTGCTCTACCCCCAGTAATCCAAAATATGAAATGGTGATCCCAGATCACCCTGCTAAATCTCATCCCGATCTTCATGTAAGTAATGACTCTAACTCCTCAGTGGCAGACAGCAGTAGCCCACTTAGAAACTTCAGCTGTGGCTTTGAAAGGACTACAAGGAACAAGAAGCTGGCAGCAAAGACTGATGAATTTAACAGAACTGTATTTAGAACAGATAGAAATTGTCAGGCAATACAGCAAAATCAAAGCTGCTCAGAATTATCGGAGGATCTCAAGCCCTGTGATACTTCATCTGCTCACACAGGTAGCATATCACAAAGTAATGATGTGTCTGGTATTTGGAAAACCAATGCCCACATGCCTGTGCCCATGGAAAATGTGCCTGATAATCCCACCAAGAAATCCACAACAGGCCTAGTAAGACAAATGCAGGGACACCTAAGTCCTCGCAGTTATCGGAATATGCTCCACGAGCATGACTGGAGACCGAGTAATTTGTCTGGCCGTCCAAGGTCAGCTGATCCCAGGTCAAATTATGGTGTTGTGGAAAAGCTGCTGAAAACCTATGAGACAGCAACAGAGTCTGCACTGCAAAATTCTACGTGCTTCCGGGATAACTGGACCAAATGTAATTCTGATGTCAGTGGTGGTGCCACATTAAGTCAGCATTTAGAAATGCTCCAAATGGAACAAGAGTTTCAGCAAAAGACAGCTGTGTGGGGGGGACAGGAAGTGAAGCAAGGAATAGATCGGAAAAAGGTAACAGAGGTGAGAAAGCAAATAACATAATTTGGTAGCATCCATATTAGTAATGGCTCTGAATTCTGTTCATATGTGCCATTCATATAAACAGAATGGGGGCACAAGTTTTGGACTCTTCTTAGCCTCTTGACCCTGTTTGTAAATAAATATAACTCAACATGAACCTTGAAGGTGTAGTTTTTAAGACTGAGAATAGTACATTGTAACTTTTGAAAAATTCTGAAATGTGATAACATAAATACAGTAAGTGGATTTAGGAAACTGAAGAAGATCAAATGTTTGTTCTTGAAAAAATATTCAGAATGGACATTTCTTGATTTGTAGAATTTCATTCTTTTAAAGGTTCTTTTTAAGTGTATGGAAAATATTTTAAAAATCATTTTCACTTTTCAGTTATTAACTATGATTGGTTCAGTCATTCTCAGCATTTGACTCATGTTCTTTCTCATAGGATTAGTCACATTAATATGAATATGAGAAATACACATCATTTAACAGTGCCTAATAGAGTCCTCTTATCTGTGGAACTAAAAGATAGTATATATAAATAAGGTTATTCTTATTTCTATGTATTCTTAGCATAGAAATTGACCAAAAAAACCCCACTCAAATGGACATTTTAAGTAAACTGTTATCTTTTTTGTTGCTGTCTATTTATGAGAGTTTAATATTCATCAGTTATAGGAGAAAAAGAAGTCGAAGAAATTGGTATTTACAAAGAAGAGTTATACAACACTCTCTTTTACTCATATAATGTTTAAGAACCTAACAAAAAGTTACGAGGTGACATATTGTTATTACTAACCAATACTTCAACACTCCTAGTTTTATAGAATGCAGTGGGTATGCAGCATGGTTTTAAACTATTGTGCAAGTTGCTTCCTTCTGGTGTAAAAAATTACTATGTGGATTTCAAATTCTGCAAAAATATCAGTTTTCATCCATCTTATGAGAAATCTTGCCTGTCTTTATAAGGTACAAAAAATATTCTGCTTTTGTATTTCTCTGCTTTTTAGTTGAGCCCATCAATGCCTGCAAGGTCCTGTAGCTAAAGATGGGAAATACATATATCTGTACGATAACCAAACAAAATTCTCATTAACTAACAAGAAATAATACTAAATGATTTCCCTTTTTGCATTCGTTGGGAGTTTGGCAGGGAGGTCCTCTACTCGAGATCCTTAGGAGCAGCTTTTGTTTTTGTTTTTTGTTCTTCCCCCTGTAGGAACAAATCTAAAAAATAGGTCTCCAAAAAGAAAAAGAAACTGCAGGTTACTGTCAGACCATGGCTAAAATAGTAAAAATAGGAGGCCATCCTCACTGCCTAGCTCATATGAAAGAGCACAGGCTTTGTGGAGTCTAAGAAGTGTCAATAAGAACCAAGTGTATAAAGTGTGTCATGGAAGCTTTGTACTTTCGTTTTAATTTTAAGGACCAAGGAAGGCTTTTTTTTCCATTAAAATAAAAGGAAAGAAGGAAGGAAATAAAAGAAAAAGAAGAAAAGTGAAGGAAAAGGTTCTCTCCCATCAGAACATGCCCAAGAGATAGGAATTTTGTATTAGTAATTAGAATGAAGATGTATTTAAAAGCATTTTAATGATAATTTTAAGGTTTTGATAGTGCCAGTGGAAAAAAGCATCAGATTAATCATTTGGTTTGTGTGCCTTTTGCTTATCACCTCTAAAAGTGTCAATAACTTGACATGAATGGTTTCTTCTATAAATTATCTTTTTATTTTTAAGTAACACTGTAACCTCCTCATCGCCCACTAAGAAACATCTGTATTTCCATGACATTCAAGTTACTTAACTTGAAATTTTAAATCCTGAGCTCATCATTAGTTCTACAAAGAGATTAACTGTATTAAAATTTGTCAGTGTGAGGAAAGGGACAAGATTATCAAATGGCATATTCTGTATTAAAATTGAATTGCTTTAAAACATTCAAAACCACAAATATTAGACAAGTACCTTCTTTAGTTTTCAATACTTTTTCTTTCTTGTAAATTTACTAACAGACTAATTTTATAGTTGAGCTCATCATATATGAAGCCCATTGTTGGTAGCCAGAGAGTGAGGAATGTTTTCACTTGCGTCCTAGGAATCCATATCAGTGAACGCCTCACATGGAAAAGGATTTTCCCGACCTGCTAGACCAGCAAATCGTCGTCTCCCCTCCAGATGGGCATCCAGATCTCCATCTGCACCCCCTGCGTTGCGAAGATCTACCCACAACTATACCATTTCTCTGCGATCCGAAGCATCAATGGCTTAAGTCTTTGGCCTGGACTGCTATATTGCAGAAGTTCTAGTCCACTTGTCAAACAGAGCATTCTGAGCGTTTACAGGCAGACCTGTTCTCTTCCGACAAGCAATTTAAATCTTAACTTTCCATCAGTCTTCAGTGTTTTTAATCTAAGGAATAATTATCTTCCTGTATTTTGATTTCTTAGGTCAGAATTTTTTAATACCATCCTCATTAATTTTCCAATATGATATAAGTTGAAACAATGTACAATATTGTATATTCTTTCTTGCAAGTGGCAGAAAGTAAGGTTATGTGCATGGCCATGTGTTTGTAGGTGCATGTGTTGAAATAGGAAGTATCCTAGTATGTATTTAGATAGGAAAAACTTATGTGCTAGTGTTGACTTTGAAATTATAACATGTATACCTATATATTCTTTGTGTTTATTTAAAGGTTTTGAAAATATACAGTACTGTTTATATTTTGTATACCTTTTAATAGGTATCCACTTAAGGCATTTGCAGTACAAATATTAATTAACTACTTCCTTGGCCCCCAGCTACATTGAAAAAGAAGAATTATGCACACATCTAACATTGGTAGATTATGGCACACATAAAACCATATGAGGATAAAATAATACCATTGATATCCTTGTTTATTCTTTTTAAATAAAAATGTCACAAGTTTAATAGATCAGCCTTGTAAAGCAAGCATAAAATGTTCATAAAGTTTTATATATTATTTGGTAGTCTAGTATGGCTTTAACTGAATATTTGATCCTTAGAGACAGTATCATGAGACTGCATTATAAATGACATGACTAAATAATGAATTTATTTTGTCAGCCTCAGTGACAAACATTTCCTAAATGGGATGCAAAAAGAAACTGAATTATGTTGAATTTTAGTTTTTCTTAAAGTTGTGGTAAGCTTTTAGTTTAGCTGCTTTAACATGGAGTCATACATACTTAGAGGTAAGTCATTTATTATTTTCTTCTTTTTTCTAAACTTTTCCTTAAAATTAATAGATAACAAACTAATAATTTACTTTTTTACTAACAAGGAAGATCAGGAATAATATTTCATTGAGAGCTGAATTATACTTCTCATAATTTGCTACAAAAAAAGGCTTAAACTAAACCTTGACATCCACAGTAGCATCAGGAATAGAAATGTATATTTTGGCTACAGTTTGCATACAGCGAACACATAAAATCTATATTGAAAACTGACAGAAATATGAATGTTGAGGGGCTTGGAATTCTAAATGGAAGATTTTAGAAGGAACTTTGCTCTCTACTGTCACTATGTAAAACCAATTATGTTATGTTATTAGATATTAATTCTATTTAAGCTTTTCTTTTACTAAGAACTTCTTATGCCAAACGTATTCCAAGAGCCATCTCCTTATGATGTATTCAAACCATTTAGAGAAATTCACTTCGTTGTACCCCATGACCTGAGGTAAAGAAAATAATTTTCAAATTGCAGACTTCCTTGAAAGGCTCAAGACTGTAGCATGGTGATGTCTAGATTCATACTTTACTGTAAGGACAGTTTCGGAACTTAAATGGAATTAAAGATCTAGAGTGATTTGGATTGGATGATAACTAAGGTCTATAAATCTACTCTTTTAATTCTTATTTCCTTCAGGAAGATCCTTTTCCACAGGAGTATCAAAGAAAAGTAAACTAGACACCAAGTAATATCACTCTTATAATATGCTTTCCAGCTAGAGGGGAGAAAACACCAGGAAAGTGGAACCCTGGGTCATAAAATGACGGACGTGTTAGGAAAATGCTGTTGTGTGACAGTGGAGAGCCTGCCCAAGGACTGTGCAACCTATCTGTTCCTCTCCACCACTGTTTCCTAAGTAGTCTGGTATGATCTGTGTTTCCTTAGGATATTGAGGATCTCTTTTAAAAAATGAAATTTCTGATCTCACCCCATAATTACTAAAGCAAAATTTCCAGGGGTAGGAATGGGGACTCCAGAGCCATTAATAAAATAAAACAAAACAAAGCAAAATATTGATGATCAGGCAGATTTGAAAACAGTGACATTGATTGATCTCTGAATGGATGGATGCCCTTGAATGATCACTTTTCTTCCTAGGACTTGCCTTTGTTATCTGTAAATTAGAATGGCTATACTTTCAGGCTTCACAATTTTAAGCCACTTTTTTCTACTAACAGTTGAATGAACCAGTGGGACACATTTTAACATCTTTTTATGTTGACTAAAGTTATAGTTAGAGCTGAGAAAAAAAAAATAGCATCTAGTCCAACTCGTTGATTGTAAAACTGAATTAAGATCATTTGAATGTTCTGTTTTCTCTTTTTAAATATTTTATAATTTTTAAATAGAAAAACCTGTTGGGTAAATGGAAATAATCTTTGAAAATATTTTTTGATGTTTTGTGATTTTTAACTGGTAACTTTCTACTTTAGGTGGGCATTTTCTTCCCTAGAATATACCCTTTATTATGCTATCATTGCTAGATTTAAAGGGGCTTCTAAGCATTTCTGGAAATATTTGATTTAAAAACATATATTAATAGATGTTTTCCCTAGCAGACTTTTGAAGCAAAAATATTATTTTAGTTCAGCAGAGGATTACTGATATTATGGGCTGATCTCAGAAAGGAATAAGAATGAGGCAGAGAGGAGTACTTGAGTTTCTGTGTGTGTTTGTGTGTGCGAGTGTGTGTTTGTGTTTGTGTGTCACATAAGTTCTCCATATTGCCTTATGTCCCAAAGCCAAATATAAAAATATAAATGATGCTTTGTGTAATTCATTTTATCAAAAATTACCCATAACTTTCATTTGTTTTTATATCGACAATGAAGATGATAATATTTCATTTTGCAGATGTGGCCATAAAATATTATTTATTTCTACATAGGTGATTTTACCAGATTTAGTTATCTTGAGAAAACATCTGGACTTCAAAGAGTTTCTGCTTCCCTACAAAGATCTTTAAAATTATTTTTAGGCACATTTGTGATAAACAATTACTTGATATTGAAATCTCCTTCAGCCATTAGAAGCTATCAAATAAAGTAGGCATAAAAACAACTGTCTGTGGCATTTGTATACATCGAGAACATTTTTCTTTCCCTCCCTTTCTGCAGTGAACTCCAGTAAAGTTGAGCGTGTTATGAAATCTAAACTCAAATATGTACACAGTTCACTCTAACCTCTTCCAAAATATCTCTAGATAGTAGAATTGAAGCCAAACCTGCCTGACTTCCCAGACAGATTCAGGGGCTGCGAAGAGCACTACATCAAGGACTCCAGGGTGGACAGCGCTCAAAGGTCAGACACACAGTCTGTCCTCAAGGAGATCTCTTCCTAAAACAGCAGAGACCTGACTCTGCAGAGGCCAGGGTAGAAATAAAGAGTTTAGGGGGGAAAAAAAAAATGGCAAATGCAAGATCCAAGATCAAGAATCCCGGTCCTGGGCACCAGCATGTAGGAAAAGAGATACAGCCTGAGGTATGGAGGCAGGCCCATTGGAAATAGGAATTGAGAGGTCTTTACCAGCACATCACATCTTTACTAAAGTTGGAACCTAAAAAGACTACAGTGGCAAATGAGGACCCTCTTGTAGGCAACTAGGAGAGTAATCACCACTAAGCTGAAATAAATGGAGGCTCCATGCAGCTTGAGCCCTCATCTGTGATATTTTCAGGAAAAAAAATTATAGGAAACCATCAGAGGCCTCACTGTGAGAGACTGGAAAAGATACAAAGATGATGAGGTGGGGACTGATCCTCTCTTTTCTCTCCACTTTCCATTTATTGTCATTTTCTTGTGACTCTATCCCCAGAACCTAAAACTTCACCTGATAATATAATAAATAAACCATCTATACTTTCATATAATTGACAATAAAAACAAAAATTAGAAAATATATTTTTCTTCAATTAAAATCAAAAATAGGCACATAATTAAAGAGTAGGACGATTTTTATATCTTATAAAATTACTCAAAATTGCCATTATAAATATGAAGTAGATTAGCATAGGGAACACCTGTACTGCATTGGTAAGAATAAATAGAGTCTCATGGAGAAAGAAATGCCATGTGAGTATAAGTAAAGGCAGTGAAATGGAATCGACCTATCCTGAGCTCCAGCTACAGGTGGGGTGATGGGCTGCATGCACCACAGGAAAAGGAACCCCAATAGCAAGAATATCCAGTGTTGACCCACTATTGTCCAGTGAGAAAGACCAGGCTCTGAGAACACAAACTTTCTGCCACACAGCTACTTCCTTCTGTTGTGGGAACAGGAGATGCCTCCAGATGGATCTGTGCCAGACAGATATCCCTGGAGGTCAGGTCACCCAATTCTATCGACTGACTTCTTTCACACTCATCCTAAGAGCCTTCTGATTTTCAGATTAACTACCTAGGTCCTTAGAGAAATTAAAGAGGATCTAAATCAGTGTTTCTTGACTGTTTCCAGAAAGTTTTTTCTAACTGGAGAGAAAAATAGTCCTCCAAAGGTCTCTAATAGTATCTAAAGCAGCCCATTGTTAAGAGAAAATTCTTTAACTTTGAAGGGTTTTAACTTGAAAATGTTTATAAACCAGGATTCTATCTGCTTCTTTCACTGATTATGCCAAGCACTTAGAAAAATGACAGCAGAGATTACGTTGAATGAATTAAGATTTCAGCCAGGCACCGTGGCTTACCTCTGTAATCTGAGCACTTTGGAAGGCAGAGGTGGGTGGATCACCTGAGGTCAGGAGTTAGAGACCAGCCTGGCCAAAATGCTGAATCCCCATCTCTGCTAAAAATACAAAAATTAGCCAAGTGTGGTGGCACACACCTGTAATCTCAGCTACTCGGAAGGTTGAGGCATGAGAATCACTTGAACCCAGGAGAGGGAGGTTGCAGTGAGCTCTGATCGCGCCACTGCACTCCAGCCTGAAACTGTCTAAAACAAAAAAAAAAAATTAACAAGATTTCTTTTTTTCTTTTAAACTTTTGTTTGCATGTATTTTATTTTATTATTCTCACACCATAAGTTTTTGTTGCTACAGTTTCTTCTGGGATATCTTTTTCTCCAGTGGATCCTCCTCTTCTGGTTTAGGAACAATCTGTTTCTTTTATGTAAGGATCATCTCAGTGTGGCAGGGGAATTAATGCATGGATTTAATCAGACCATGAGCTCTGTAAGTCCAACAGTGCACCCTGAGTGCTTTGTTCACCTGGATATGCTCGATGACCAGAGAATCTCTGCTACAACCTTAGGTTCACTTAGCATAACTCTGCATTTTAAAGCACGTGCAGCAAAAATTCAGCACTCTTTTTGGACCACTGACCCTGTGTCCAACCCCACTGTTTGTCCTGGACACAGCTATCAACTCCATCCTTGTAACATCAGAATAGTGAACACTGTTTCTATAAAGTGATATATTTAGTGGCTTTTTATATGAGCATACCTGTGATGGCCTGGCCAGACTCATGAGTGTTCTTAAAATGAACACAAAGATTTGAACCTCTTGGTTTGCATGATTTTGTAGAGTTTTCTGGGTCAAGTGAATAACAAACCATTTTCATAGATCACCTCAGGCCACTTAGGAGAAGAGTGAATTAATGAAATTTTTAAATATTTTAATTACTTGTTATCAGCAAAAAAAAAAAAAATGTTTTTCTTCTCTGACTCTTCATTTAGTCTAACATAGCTGGATTAAGAGTGCAGGATTTTTGCTCCACTAAATTTATTTATTTCAAAACTTGAGCTGACCTGAATATATATGGTACAGTAATTTCTGTTCTGGTGTCAGCATATTTTCAGAACCTGAATCCACTGAAAAATGAGCACACAAATTGAAACTGTTTTCTTGTTGTTTTGAAATTTTTATAATATAATCACTAAGACAAGATGACCAGAATACTATTAAAGAGATAGCACACTGTAATATTTCAGATGACTGCTGGTAGAAATTCTGTTATTTAACAGAATTAAATAAGAATTAAAGATTTTAATCTTGTTAAATATTTATTTAATATTTATTAATAATAAAATAATATGAATTTTATTATTAATAACGAAAGGCTAAAGGACTTGCAACATGTGAAATATAAGGCTGTCTCTTCTATTGTCTTAGGAAAACAATAGTTGAAGGGCCTTTTTGAAGGAGGAAAAATAACAAATTACATAGACTTTAATTTTGTGTAGTTGAATTAAGTGTTCAAAATTTTATTGTTGATAAAAACTCTTCACAGCTCTCACACTTTAATTCTGTTGCAATCTTACTGCACAGAATTAAAAGTGAAATGTAATTCACTAATGAAAACTTTCACAATTTCACTTTCACAGAGAAGTTACCCTTAAAATGTCTTGGCTGAGTAAGTCAACTTTGAGAACCAGTTTATCATTAGGCAAAACAATAATTAGGCATTTTAACCTATGTTTTAGGCATTGTTATGGAAAGTTTTTTAGTTCTCCACTTTAAAAAGAGTAATTCCAATAATTGAAAATCTGATCAGTATTTTTCTCTGCCTAAACCAGCAAATACATATGTCAAAGAGCAAGTTTTTAAACTTATCTCCCATTTCTTTCTTTCTTTTTCTTTTTTTTTTTTTGGCAGAGTGTGCTCTGTTGCCCGGGTTGGAGTGCAGTGGCGGATTTCAGTTTCACTGCAACCTCCACCGCCCAGGTTCAAGCGATTCTCCCCACTCAGCCCTGCGCTGAATAACTGGGATTACAGGTCCCACCACCACATCTGGCTAATTTTTTGTATTTTTAGTAGAGACGGGTGGGTTTCACGTGTCCGGCCAGGCTGCTGTCCTGAACTTTCTGACCTCAAGTGATCCACCGCCTCAGCCTCCCAAGTGCTTGGGATTACAGGCATGAGCCCCATGCCTGGCCCTCATTCGTCCATTTCCTTATGGATTAATCTAAAAAAGATAAGCATCTAAATTTTTTTTTCTTACTAAGTGTTAAACGAATCCAGCATTTCTTTCCGCTCCAGCTAAGGCACAAAGAAAACCAAGAGACGTTCGCAGTACCAGCCTAACAAACATGGTGAACCCATTCCTCTACACAAAATACAAAATTACCAGGCGTAGTTAGTTGGGTAGGGTGCCTGTAATCCCAGCTACTTTGGGAGGCTAAGGCAGGGAGAATCACCTTGAACCTGGGAGGTGGGACGTTGGGGCAGTGAGCCGAAGTCATGCCATGCACCTCCAGCCCTGGGGCAAACACGAGCAGACTCCGTTCTCAAAAAAAAAAAAAAGAATTAAAGAAAGAAAAGAGAAAAAACAGAAAACCAAGAGACAAATCTTTGAGAGACAGGCATATTATTAAGGTGAGTGACTGCCAAGAGCTGACCTGACTCATGCAGGATACAGAAATGCCACCTTTCCCTGCCCAATGTTCAGGCTCGACAGATTTGTGTATTCCATCATGACACCCATCTATCTGCGTTCATTCATCTTTTTTTAAATCTCATTTGATCTTTATAAAAAATGATTCTTTCACGTACACACATGGCTTATATCAGTAATAAATTATCACTTTAAATAGTGGACAAAGACAAATAACTACAATTCCTAAGAAGCTATTTGTGTTCCACTATTATTTCCAATGTAAGCCATACCAATACAAGGATGATTCTCCTCAGCCAAATTCATCCAGGATTATCCTTCCTTCAATGTTACGAAATGTACTTCACTTGCAGCGTATCATCATTAATAAGTATGGGCTTTTCAAGTTTACCCGTTTATTTTTTCTTTTATTTCTATTTATTTCTTTATATTTTTTTTGAGACCAGAGTTCTAGCTCTGTTGCCAGGCGGGGGTGCAGTGCACGGGGTCTTGCCTCGACTGCAAAGCTCGCCTCCCGCCGTTCTCCTGCTCGCCCTCCGGAGTAGCTGTGGTACAGGCACTCGCCCCCACGCGCCAGCTAATTTTTTTTTTTTTTTTTTTTTTTTGTATTTTTTAGTTGGAGATCGGGGTTTTCACCGTGTTAGCCCAGGATGGGCTCTCAATTCTCCTGACCTCGTGATCTGCCTCTTCCTGGCCTCCCAAAGTGCTGGGATTACAGGCGTGAG